AGCACCTCCAGGAGCTCCAGAACCTCCAGCAGCAACAGGAGCACCCCCAGCAGGACCGCCAGTGGTAGTCTCAGCGCCAACACCCTCAGCAGCACCAGCTCCAGCCGAACCTGCAGGCCCAGCAGCTCCAGTACTCCTAGGACAAGCACCTCCGGGACCCGCGACAGCAGCACCCTCAGTAGCGGACGAACCTCCAGCACCAGCAGCACGGCTCCAGCGCCGGGCAAACCACTCGCGCAGCTCCTGTGGAGAGAGTGGCTCCCGGCGAGACGTAGCACCCAGAGAACCTCCAGGCGGAGCACCTCCAGGCTCAGCACCCCCAGGCTCAGCACCCCTAGGCTCAGCACCCCCAGGCTCAGCACCCCCAGGCGTAGCACCCCCAGGCTCAATACCCCCAGGCTCAGCACCCCTAGGCTCAGCACCCCCAGTAGCCAAAGAACCTCCAGTACCAGCTGCACGGCTCCAGCGTCGGGCAAACCACTCGCGCAGATCCTGTGGAGAGAGTGGCTCCAGGCGAGACGAAGCACCCGGAGAACCTCCACGCGGAGCACCTCCAGACTCAGCACCCCGAGACCCGGCACCCCCAGGCAAAGCACCCCGAGGCGTAGCACCCCCAGGCTCAGCACCCCCAGGCACAGCACCTCCAGGCTCAGCACCCTCAGCAGCACCAGAGTCACCAGTGACCTCGATAGGCTCCTTAGCGTCTACCTGGGACACACCTGGGGCAGGACCCTGAGGGGGGAGGGGGTCTACCTGGGGGGGACCTGGTACAAGGAAGAGCGAGGGCGGGGGGAGGGACGGATTGCGGTAGGGGAAGAGGCGGTAGTAGGGGACCGACTCGTCGAACGTGACGTCCTGGGAGGACAGAACACGGCGAGAGGTGGGGTGGTAGAACTGCCACCCAGGCGCGTCAGGGGGGAACCCCAGGAAGACACAAGGAGCAGCACGAGGGGACAGCTTGTCCGCAGACAAGTCGCGGACAAACGCCCGAGATCCCCAGACCCGAAACGCCGACGCATCGCCAACCTTCCTTGTCCACAGCAAGGCTGGGGAGGTCTCCAGCCTGGAGACCCTAGGGTGAAGGTTGATCTGATGCGCCGCGTACCTGACCGCAAACGGCCACAGAAAATGGGGGGCAGCCGCATGCATCATAGACGTACGAGCGACGTCCATGACCATGCCAATGCGGCGCTCAGCAATCCCATTTTGCTGCGGAGAGTCCGGAAGCGTGAAGGTCTGACAAATGCCCCGTGCGCGACAGTAGGCTCTCAGAAGGCCAGAGGAAAACTCTCCGCCTCTGTCCGAGTGCAGACGCAGAACAGGAAAGTCCGAGCCAAAGCTCTGCCTGAGCTGGAGACGGGCTGCGCGGATCCAGTCGATCAGCACCTTAGTGACATCACCCTTGCTGCGCAAGGGGAAGACTGCGGTGTAACGCGAGTAGTCGTCAACAACGAGCAGGAAGTAGCGCTCGTGACCCTGTCCACGGACGCGGGCTGGGCCCCACACGTCCATGTGAAGCGTCTGCAACGGGGCCTCTGTCGGAGGAAACTGGGAGGAGTGAGGGGCAGCACGCTGGCGCCCCTCGACACAGGGGACACAGGTAGGGCCAGGGCCCTGAGGAAGGGGAGGGAGGGACTGGGGGAGATTAGAAACAAGAAGACGAGAGGCCATGCCTCTGAGCCGAAGCAGAGAGGGGTGACCAAGGCGGTGGTGCCAGAGGAGAGTCTCGTGAGACAGGAGACGACACGAACAGGGGGCAGACTCAAGACCAGACCTGGACGCTGCAGCAAACACCTGACCCGACGCAGCTACCCTACCAGGCTCAGCAACTGGAGGAGACGCAGTGGTCAGTGTGTACAGGCTCGACCCCGGCCGACGAGTAAACGTGGCCAGGTGTCGGCCTGTCCGAGCGTCCGTGCAGTGGGTCATCCGCTGACTCGCAGGAGTGAACTGGTGAACCCCCGCATCTTGCAGGTCAGCACCACTCACCAAGTTCGTAGAGAACGAGGGGAGGTAAAGACCAGACAGGGTGCCAGAGGGGGCCGCCGGACACGGGAGGACAGTGGAGAAGTGAGCAAGGACAGGGCCCCCAGAGGGGTCTGCCAGAGAGACTGCAACTGGCCGACCAAGCGGCGTGAGTGTGGTGCAGTCTCGAAAGAAGGAGCGGGAAGCCCCCGAGTCAAGGGTGAAGGTGTGAGAGGCCGGAGCCGGCGCGGTACGTGAGAGAGCAGACTCACCCGCACGTGAGAAAGCAGACTCACTAGCACCTAGAGCAGCAGCCGCACCTGTATCTGGAGCAGGAGACACACTAGCACCCAGAGCAGCAGCCGTACCAGCAGCTAGAGCAGCAGGATCTATACCCGGGTCAGGCGGTACGCACAGGTGACCGGCACGGTCAGCACTAGTAGGGAATGCATACATGGCAGTGAGAATAGCATCATAGTGAAGAGCAAATATATCTACCCTCTGCCTAAGCAACTCCACCCAGTCGGGGAGCTCAGCCTCGTCGCCAAACACGGTACGCCAGGCGTCGCTCAGACGGGCAAAGCAGCGGGACGGTGTGTGACTAGGCGTCACACAAGGCTGACCAGTCCGAGCACCAGTGCGAATCACGTAAGAGCAGCGAACAGAACTGAGAGACCCTCTACTCTGAGCGTACCACTCACGAAGCTGCTGGGGCGTGAGAGACGCGCGTGGGCGTCGTTGGAGCTGTATCTGGCCGCCGCCAGTAGAAGCAGGAGCAGGAGTAGCAGCAGTAAGGCAGGTAGCCAAGCAAGCCGTAGGCAGCGCGCTAGTAAGGCAGGGGCTCACCAGTGGTGGGAAGAGGAGGCTCGACGACTCGGCGACTTGGCGGCACGGCGTCACTACAGCAACTGCGGCTCGGCGGCTCGGGCGACTCGGGCGGCTCGGCTGCTCGGGCGACTCGGGCGGCTCGGCGGCTCGGCGCGGCGGTACGGCTGCTCGGCAGGTACTGCAGCTCGGCGGCTCGGGGACCCGGCGGCTCGGGCGGCTGGGGCGGCTCGGGTGGCTCGGGCGGCTCGGGCGGCTCGGGCGACTCGGGCGGCTCGGGCGGCTCGGGCGGCTCGGGTGACTCGGCACTAGCTCGGCGGCGCGGTGGTGACGGCGGGGCCGCCTGGGGATAGCGGCGGGGCCGGGTGGAGCGGCGACGGGGCCAGCAGAAGCGGGGCCGGGTCGGTGCAGGGCCGCGGGGCCGCAAGGGAGGTGGCGGGGCCGCGGTGGAGAATGACGGCAGGGGCCGCGACGAAGGGCGGCAGGGGTCGCGACAATGGGCGGCAGGGGCCGCGACGAAGGGCGGCAGGGGCCGCAACGAAGGGCGGGGCCGCGACGAGAGTGGCGGGGCCGCGACGAGAGATGGCGGGGCCGCGACGAGAGGTGGCGGGGCCGCGACGAGGGGCGGGGCCGCGACGTAGGGCGGGGCCGCGACAAGGGGCGGGGCCGCGACGTAGGGCGGGGCCGCGACGTAGGGCGGGGCCGCGACAAGGGGCGGGGCCGCGACGTAGGGCGGGGCCGCGACAAGGGGCGGGGCCGCGACGTAGGGCGGGGCCGCGACGTAGGGCGGGGCCGCAACAAGGGGCGGGGCCGCGACGTAGGGCGGGGCCGCGACAAGGGGCGGGGCCGCGACGAAAGCGGCGGGGTCGCGCGCCTCGGGGCGCGCGCCAGAAAGAAAATCGCCGCGCGCCGAAAATAGGTCGCACGCCGCGGGGCGTGCGACAGATCGAGTAGCAGCGGAAGCAGTAGTAGGGCCTTAGGAACAGTTCCCACGAGGGAACCTGCTCGATACCATGTGAGAATTGAAACGAGAATGAGTGAACTATGAAATGAAGTGAGTACAAATATGAAACCCTAATTGGTTGTACCCCCTATGGGATACCCCACTATAGCCTACACAACAGCATAAGTTATAATGTTCTGACATTGGATGCATTGAGGATGAAATGTGAGGAGTAACGGATAACGAAATGATGACATGGTTTTCAAAGATTTGGACAAGGCGAAAATCGCTGATAGCAAGAAAAGCGGGGCACTGGGTACGAACGACCTAGCTGCTCTATCGAAATGGCCTTAACCCTTCAAAAACGATCTAGCATTAGTAAGGTTAACGACACGAGATTAAGAAACGTGGATCTAATTTATAATATCTAACCTAGATGTAGTTGATAGCTTAGGGTAGAATTCTCAGTACCTTCAAGTGGTTGCTAGGAGGAGCATGACTAGCGGCCTTGACTAGCTATGAGGAAGAACCAAGTTGGAGTGGCGAGAGGAAAGGGGAGGCGGGCAAATTCGCAGGCATGTGTACAATGCCAAAAGGCGGCTGACAAGGACAGGTGTGTGTTGTTTACCACAGGTTCTGAAATTTGCCTACCCAAATCAACTGTCAACTGTAAGCTGCGGGCGACAGCCCGGTACCAAATATTAACGGCAAGCGTTCGGTATTGAGCAGACCCAATGTACGGGCACGGGAGCAGACCGAATGTGCGGGCACGGGAGCAGACCGAATGTGCGGACACGGGTTGGACATTCTTACTGTACTCCCTTTTCACACCATCATCACCGAGATATAAAGCATCCGACCCGAGACAAGGCATTTCGACCGAGGGTGTCGAACTTCAGCGTGGCCGTGTTTCTGTCAAAGTCAGTCTCTCGCCGAAGTTCTCTCGCGACCTCACTTCTGTTAGCTTCATAACTTCTTCTCGAAGCTTGCGGAATTGTTACTTTGGCGACAAACGGCCCGTCGTAACATGTTTCCGTAGAAGTTTCACGCCCTAAGTTCACATAGTCCCCAACCATAATCACTAACCACAACCCTCAAAGCGACATCTCATGATCAGCTCCAAGTCGACGCGGTTTGCAGATTCTACTCTTAGGTCCTGACATCTTTGTTCTGAAAAAACGGCGTAACTCGGGGAACCCTCTCTCCCATGGTCCTATACTATCTAGCATAGTACACTGCTTCTCCCTTCTTTTTCCTTCTCCCACCAATGGCGTACGGCTGCCCTTTCGCCGTGGCAAGTAACACCGCGCCCCGCGGAGCAGCCGGCTGCCCCGTTTTCCTGCTTGTGGGCGCCGCAATTTGTACCGCGTTCACCGGGCTGCAGGAGGTGGTGCCGGCGGGGTGGCTGCAGCAGCTTCTGGTTCTCCGCTTCTTCTCCGCGGCGCGCGTGGGCGACCGGCCGTGGCGGGACGTCGTCGCACTTACCGTCGCCGCCGTCGCAACACAGGTACTAGCAGCAGCAACTCGTTTCACGCATGCACGCACGCCACGGCGCAGAGATAGCAGCATCGAACGAATCGCACTTTACCAAAATTCCAACCAGCACGGGCGGCGCGGCAATCACACAGTTCATGGCGGTACCTTGGGGACATTCAGGCTCAGAAGTGACTTCTGAGCCTCCTCAAAAGCCGCGCGGAATCTCCTCCGAAACCGAGATCGGCGCGTGTCTGTAACGCTTGTGGGCTGTGTTAAGGGCATTCCGCAGCGCCAAATAACACCCTCGTTCTGCACGTCCTCTGCTCGTCCCCATCTGCACGTCCACCGTCTGCACGCCCACTTCTGCACGTCCACGTCTGCACGTCATCATCTGCACGTCCACATCTGCTCGTCCACATCTGCACGTCCACGTCTGCACGTCCACATCTGCACGTCCACGTCTGCACGTCCACGTCTGCACGTCCACATCTGCACCCCCACATCTGCACGTCCACATCTGCTCGTCCACATCTGCACATCCACGTCTGCGCGCCCCGCACACAGGCATGCGGCATGACAGTGGCGTATGCGGGCATGTACGCGGTGGAACCCACAGCTCACACGCTCGCCTCCATGCTGCTCGTGGCCTGCGACGTGCTGCCCATGACCACCGTGCTGCTGCTGCCCTGCCTCGCTGACTCGCTCTTCCGCTTCACCTACAGGTGTGTGTGTGTGTGTGTGTGTGTGTGTGTGTGTGTGTGTGTGTGTGTGTGTGTGTGTGTGGGTGTGTGTTTTTGCGCACATGCATGCTGCACTCTGTTGGTATGTGGTCGTGTGATGGTGGCAGGGATGATGGCATGTCGTGGTGGCATGGTGGCATGGTGGCTGTCACTAAACCTGCATCTGGTCGTCTTCCCCCTCTGTCCACCTCAATCTGAACCCTCATCACACTCTTCTCCCTCTTTCCCACAACATCGCACCTGCTCTACTCGTTCCGCTCCGTTTTTGCTTGACTCAATTGTCACCCACCCCTCTCCGCCCCTAAAACTCCCTCCCTTCCCTCCCCCACCCCTCCTCCTTCTCTCCCCCTTCCCCCCCCGTTCCTTCCCCCTTTCCTCCCCAACACAGGCGCTCACCACACCTGCATCCGCTCGTCTTCCCCCTCGTTTCCACCTCCATCTGGACCCTCCTCTCGCTGCTCTCCCCCATAGGCGCCACAGCCCACCCGCTCTACTCCGTCCGCTCCATCCTCCCTCTCGTGCAAGCCACTGCGTGGGTGGGCATGGATGGGGTGCTGCTGCTACTGGCGTGGCTGGTGGGGGGGATTCACCAGGTCATGTGGGAGGAGGATGCGGTGGGGAGGGGTGTGGAGGGATGGAGGAGCTGTGGCGGTGGGAGGGTGGTTGGGAAGGAGACAGAAGGGAGAGGGGGAGGGGTTGTGCGGTGCCGGGGGGATGGGGGGGGAGAAAGGGAGGGGGAGGGGGGCTACAGTCAATTGTGTGGTGAGGGCTGTAATGGTGGTAGTGCAGTGCGGGATGGCGGAGGAGCAGGAGGAGAAAGAGAAGGAAGCGGAAGAGGGGGAGGGAGGGGAGGAAGGGACGAGGGAGAAGGAGCAGGTGGCGAAAGCAGGGGGAGGGGAGCCGGCAGCGGGCGGGGGCATGTGCAAGTCAGCGCGGCACTGCTGGTTGTGCTGATGGCAGCTGGTTCCGCAAGGGAGGCAGTGTTTTCATCCAGGTAGGTACCACTGCATGAGATGAGATGATTTTTTATTCACCGAGGCGCGTCTCAAAAAGCGCGAGTACGTTACTGCTCATGGCGCCAGGGTCAAGAAGGGAGACCGTGCTTTCATCCAGGTAGTATCTGAGTCAATTCAAAAGAATGCCCTTTTGATCATCCAGGTATCTACCACTGCATGAGACGAGGTAATGTGTGCTGCAGCACTGCCTGCTGGTGGTGCTCGTGGCAGCAGGGTCGGCAAGGGAGACCACTCCGGTACGTACCTGGTACCACTCCGTTCACTCTGTTGCATTGCATCGTTCACTTCTCATCTCACTCACGCTGCTGTTACGTTTACCACGACCCATCCACTCCGTTTCCTTGGCCCTTTCCACCGTCCGTTTTCCTGGATCTTTTTCAGTCAACTCCAAAGTCCACCTCTCCCTCTCCCTCTGCCTCTCCCTAACCCTCTAATCCTCCCCCTTGCAGCTTCTTCCAAAATCCACTCGCTGAAACCCTCGTTCCCTCCGTTTCTGTATCCTGCATTCTCTCACAAGCCTGCACCAACACCATGCCTCCCCAGCCTCCCTCCTCGCTCGCTCAATCTACTCAACGTGCTGCTTCTGCTGAAGCAGCAGGAGCTAGGCAGCTGCTGCAAGGAGAAGAGGGGGAGATAGGGGGGGAGCTGGGGAAAGTGGGGGAGGGAGATGCGGAAGGGGAAGTATCCGCAGCAGAAGGAGCCAGAGCAGAAGGAGATGCAGAAACAGAAGCAGCAAAATCAGCAGCAGCAGTAGCAGCAGGCGCAGCAGCTAGAGAGGCGTGGGAGAAGTGGCAGGCATGGCGGATGGCAGGCATATCACGGATGGTGCAGCAGACGCAGCAGAGGGCGAGAGCAGGCGAGGTGCTGATCCTGTGGTCAGAGGCGGCAGTCATCCTTCTGAATGACCATGAGGAGGCCAAGCTCCTGGCTGACCTCGCTGCCATCGCCACCGCTGCAAGCGCTAACCGCACTGCTGCTGCGGCGGCCTCTTCAAGGCCTGCTGCCAATGCAGACCTGTCGGTTCTTGGCCCGTACATTGGCGCGTCTTATATGAAGGTGTGTGCTTGATGTTGATGCAGCATGGTGAGGCACGGAACAGTGTGGGTGAGAGGCAGTGCGGGTGAGAGGCACAAGCATTGGTCCTGTGGTCAGAGGCAGCAGTGATTCTGCTGCACGCCCAAGAGGAGACTACCCTCCTAGCTGACCTTGCTGCTATTGCTTCTGCTGCGAGCTCGAACCGCACAGCCGATGCTGCTGTTGCTGCTGCGGCCGCTTCAGCTGCGGCTACTGCTTCAAGTTCTGCTGCTGTGGCTGATGCAACCCCGTCGGCTGTTGGGCTAGGCGTGTCGTATATGAATGTGTGTGCAGCGCATCTGATACGCATAGCGAATGCACTTCCTCCCGCCGTTCTGCTACCCTCATCCCCTCTCGCTCCCCCACAGAGCATTGCCCCAGGGTGAGTCACCAATTCGTTCACATTCATCGCCCCGCTGCTCCTTATCACACAAGTCTGTCTGCCCCTGTCTGTCCCCCTCCCTCTCCTCCCCCCTCCGCCCTCCTCTCTCCCCCAGCTCATTTCCCCGGAGCAATTCACCAACTCGTTCGCCCTCATCGGCCCCACCGGCGCCCCCATGCTGCGCTACAACAAGTCGCACCCCGTGCCCTCCGTGGAAGGCGATGTGCTGCCGGGCGATGGCACTCTCCCCGTGGTGGACACGCCTCTGGGGAGGCTGTCTGTCGCCATCTGCTTCGACCTGCAGTTCCCTGCTCTCATCAGCCAGGCGGGCAGGCAAGGGTGAGTTGCGTGCGTGCGTGAGTCTGTGTAAATGTGTGTGTGACGTGCGGAGGGGGGAGGGGGAAAGGGTTGTCCTTGGCCATTCTTCTTTGACCTGCACTTTCCTGCGCTGATTAGCCAGGCAAGGAGGCAAGGGTGAGGCAAGGGTGAGCCAAGGGTGCATGTGAGGCTCAGGACCGAGTGAGATGCTTGCCTGTGCGTGTGTGTAAGTTCACTCACTTACTCACTCCAATGGGTGTGGGAAAGGCCAGAGGAGTCACTCCGTTGCTGGTCAAACTTTTTCCCCTGGCCCCACTCACACTGAACCACACTCACAACCTTCAACGCCAACCACCACTCTCACCGCCCTCAGAGTGGACATTCTGCTGCAGCCCAGCTGGACGTGGGGCGCCATAGGCCACGTGACATTCGAGACGGATGCAGTGAGGGCAGCAGAGAACGGGCTCACACTGCTGCGCTGCTCCTCCATTGGGGTCTCGGGTGTCGTCTCCCCGTACTACCGCACCCTTGCTGCACAGTGAGTGCTTTTTGAGCCGTCTCAATAACATGTGCAGAGCTTGCTGCAGCTGCTGCTGCTGCCATGAATATGTATCACATGCAGTGTACTGTTGTAACTAGTGAGATTCTGCCTGCAACCAATAAACATTGGCACCACACACCTCTTGCCATTAATTTTATCCATCTTCTCTCACATTCACCCATCTTGCCCACAGGGTCGCCCAACTCCCAGCACACAAATACCCTTTTGCCCTCCCTCCCTGCTCCTTGCGTTTCTTCTCACTCTCCCATCCCTCTTCAGGGAAGTTCTAGACACTGGGGTACTCACGATGGTACTGCCCCTCCTGCCCCGTGCCCCAGCTCTCTACCCATATTTTGGCCTCCCTATGTCCCTCCTCCTCCTCTCCCTCACCCTCCTTGCAGCATTCCTCGCCATTGCCCCTCCCTTCCTCTCCCTCCCCTTCTGCCGCTGTCTTCCCAACTCCGTCTGCTCGCTGCTGCCTCACCCTCTGTGTTTGGTTGGATAGTGGGAGGAGAGGCATGGATAGGGAGTAAAGACGTAGGGCTGGTCTGTAGCACTGTAAAAGTCGAAGGTTGCATAGAATGGGTGGCTGGGATCACAATGCAGGTGCCAGGCTGGTCTGCTGTCCAACTTCTGCGTTTTGTCTACAATTTCAAGCAATGCACTATGAATGTGCAGCAGAATCACGAAGAAAATTACTATCTCATTGGGTCTTTTTTATCATTATTATATTTGTGTGATGAGATTATGCTACACGCACAAGCATGTGCCTGTGTTGTCAATCCCAGAACCCGAACCATTAAACAGGGTCACAAAGTGGGCCCAGTTCGAGCAGTCGCACGTACCGAATTTGCCTGGATACACCTAGTCCACGGTATTTTGACCGCCGCTATCTTAACCACGCGGGGGTGTTACTCTGTGGCAGGGCTTCAGATATCAGGAAAAAAACCCTGAAATTCCTGATTATGGCAGCCGATTTTCATGCTACCCTGAAAAGTCAGAGTTGGGATTTTTGTAGGACTGATCTTTCAGCGTTTTTTTATTGGCCACACTGATATATCAGTTTTTTTTTCCGTTGTACACTGATGCCACTACGTTGTAACGAAACCGACACTGAAAGCGAATCTCACCAGTGCCATGTCACCTCGACCGCAATTGCAGGGTTCTCAGATTCCCTGTATGTAGGCACCCGTGGCGGGACCGGCATCGATCTGTTGTTTTCGGGCTTAGCGCAGGTGTCGTCAATGAGAAGCAACCAGAACTCGAGTCGCCAGACAAGATACCGTTCGAGCACATAGATGAGGAGCCGCTCTGTGCATCCCCGTCAGCGCCAGTCATCGAGCAAGACAGCTCACCGCCTCCAGCTGAAAATACCGCTCCTGAACGAGTGGCCAACAAAACCGGCCGATACACGCAGTCAACGCTGCGATGGTTTCCTAAGGCCGCAGTCGACAGAGCTACCATGCCTTCGCCAACCGACCAATGGTCGTCGCCCGTGATAGCCAAAACGCAGGAGTCGCCATCAATTCCGGGTCCTTTGAAACAATCTGGACGCGACGCGCTCTACGCCGAGGCTCTGTATAAGTACAAGACTGAGTGGCTGGACAGGTTTGAGTGGCTAATTCTACTGCGGCAATCTTATGGTCTCCCTGCTTTCAAATGCTCTATTTGTACCGAGCATGCAGGTTATGCTGGAAAGCGCGGGAAAGGCGGGAACGGCGCCACAGACGTACAGACGCAGGGGTTCAAGAGGCACGCATCAACGACCAAGCACAAGGAGGCGGTCAAGAACCAGGCGAAGCTTCTTGCTGAAGCTGGCCGGCAGCCGCGTATCAACGGTGACAACCTCGCTTGTAACACCGAGAAGGAGCGGGTCATCAAGCTGTGTGACTCCCTCATCTTCGTGACCAAGCAAGATGCACCCGTAGAATTATGGGTGAACCTCGTTCGCTACCTCGCGGAGCAGAAGGTTCCGGGATTTCCCGCGAAAGGATACGAAACCTACTACACCACGTGAGTAAACGCATACTAATCATGTTCTTCATGTTGTGTGTGTTCAACATTCATACTCGCTCTAACCGTGATTCACATGCGCCACAGTGACGGCTTTGGCCAAATAACACAGTCGATCGCGACATGGTTACACACAACGCAGCTCCAGCACATCCTTGCGAGCCCGTATATCAGACTCACTTGTGACGAGAGCACAGACAGGTGTCGAGGAAAACACATGATCCTTTTCGTCACCTTCATCCGTGAGAACCGACCGGTCACTGAGTTTCTGGCCCTGCTGACTGTGGAGAAGTGCGACGCAGCATCTCTCCTCTTAGTGTTTCTGTCTCACCTGCAGGCTCTCGGCATCGACCTACACAGGATCGCTGGTATAAGCACCGATGGGGCGAGGTGATGATGGGGCGCAAGAACGGCCTCGTCGTACGGCTTCGCCTCCGCATACCGCATCTCGTCTCAAGCCACTGTGTTGCCCACAGGTACGTTTATTGTTGCACCATGCTAAAGCTGCTTCGCTTCATCATCCTATGCTAATATCTCGTGTTGCTATTTTGTGTTGTGCTGTGCCTGCAGGGAGGCGCTCGCAGCAAAACATGCACCAGCGGCCCTTCCCGAGTTCGACATGGTTGACATGTCAGTAGATCTGCACTGTGGATGCCCGATTGATCCTGGAGAGGGTTACAGGCGCGTTCGCCTGGGGGGTTATGGGCGCACTGACCCGCTACTGAAACAAGCCCTTTTATCCCAGTGGTCTAGTGGTTGGGATTCTGACATGGTATCAGAGCGGTCTCGGGTTCGATTCCCGATGTATGCACATGTAGGCCGTTGCCGCTGTGCTTAGTCCTGGGCCTCCCAGTGTGGGGGGGTGTCAGTAGATCTGCACTGTGGATGCCCGATTGATCCTGGAGAGGGTTACAGGTGCGTTCGCCTGGGGGGTTATGGGCGCACTAACCCGCTACTGAAACAAGCCCTTTAATCCCAGTGGTCTAGTGGTTGGGATTCTGACATGGCAGCCTCATCCGTCAACTCGCAGAGCATCTCGGCCATTCCGGCCCATGGCATCAACGGTTTTTGGAGCTTCAAGAACTCTTCACGTCCACAAACCTGGAGCTTCAGGGGATTCACCAGGTCCGCAGGCTCTCCAGGGGTGACGCTGTTCTGCGTCTGGTGACCGTCTTCCCCGCGATCATTGTCATGCTGTACGAGTGGGACGAAACGCTGTACGAGCTTGCCACGAGCTACAAGTTTCACTTCCTCTTGTACTTCCTGGCCGACGTGCTCGAGCAGCTGAACATCCTGAACAAGTCTTTCCAACAGCGAGAGGTGAGCGACTTGTCGTTTCAGTGTGTGCTGCGCTTGTCATGATGTCTTGTTATTGTATGTGTGGCTTCTGTGTGTGTATGTCAATGCAGTTCTATTATTGACGGTTAAACACAACACTAATTGTCTGAGAAATCACACCCTGGCTCGACTTCCTTGTGTCCCTCCATGTTATTTCTGTCGCCCAAACATAGCTTGACATTGCAGGTGTGCACGCGCAGATCAGGAGAACCATCTCTTACCTGGAGACCCGCTACGTCGACTGCGGCGATAAGTTTGGGGGCGGGTTGAGCGCGCGCCTGTCCCCGTTCATCATGAAGTACGGGCCGGACAGTGACAAACCCGAGGTGACGGTGCAAGGAGTGGACTCTGACAGTCGGCCCACTAAACACACGTTCAAACTGCACGAGAACCCAACGCTGGGAAATCACTACAACTGCGTGGATCTCTGCACCTCGTTTGCAGAGACGCTCGTGCGCAACCTCACCAAGGTTTGCAGACTTGGACTCCCTTGTGGGAGTCAGGCTGTTCATGCCCGATGAGTACCTGCCAGAGAGAGGAGAGCGGCACAAGCAGTGTCTCGAGTGGCTCATGTCACTCGTCAAGCTCTTCAGGGCACTAGAGACGGACTACATCCTTCCTGGTACGTCTTGATGACGAGAAGTGAGAATGGAATGAATGAACTATGAAACAGTTGGGTACAAGTACTAACCCTAATTGGGTTGTACCCCTTATGGGCTACCCCACTACAGCCTACACAGATGTATAAGCTATAATGTTCTGACACACCCCCATAGGCAAAGTGGGGGAGAACAAGTGGTCACAAGACCAGTCAAGCAAAGCAAAGCAAGCTCAGGGTGGATCACAAAGTCACCACACAGTCCAAGCACAAGAGTAAGGCCACAAGGCCAGTTCACATGCAAGGTCATATATATAAAGGTAAAACAAGCAAGGGCAGGTATAGAAAGAAGACAGTACAAACAAGATCAAGAAGTGAGCAAGTGAGGCCAGGTAGGCACAAGACCTAGCACAGTACAGAAGCGCTAATGATCACAAGGCGGAAGGGCCTTGGTGAAGATATCAACAGTGTTGGCCTCAGAGGCCACGTAGGTGAGGCGGAGCTGACCACGCTGCTGCAGCTCACGAGCCAGGAAGTAGCGGAGGGCAATGTGCTTCGTTCTGTGCTCCAGTCTGTGCTCCCGACACAAGGCCAGCATGGCCTTGTTGTCTACGTACAGAACTGGAGGAGAACGAGGCGGCTCTCCTAGGTCAGTCAGCAGGTATGTGAGCCACCGTAGCTCCTGTGCAGCCATGGCCCCTGCGTAGATCTCAGCCTCACAGCTGGAGCCGAGGACAGAGGACGAGCGGGTAGACCGCCACGAAACCCTGTGAGGACCGCCGGAGCCAAGGCTGAAGGTGTAACCCTGTGAGGACCGCTGCGTAGCCTGGTCGTCAGCCCAAGAAGCGTCAGCGTAACCTGTGAGGACTACTCGACGTCGCCCTCCAAGCACTAGCCCCATGCCCGACGTACTGCACACGTAGCGCAACACCCTCTTCGCTGCAGCCATGTGCTCTGGTCGGTGTCTCCCAGGAGCAACATAGCGTGCCAAGATGCTAAGAGGGTATGCAAGGTCAGGTTGTGTGCAGGTCATCAGGTACATGAGGCAGCCAACAAGCTCTGGGTACGGGCCACTCGACTCTACGGACTCATCCGAAGGCAGAGCTGAGAGCGAGTGGCGAGTAGACAGAGGAGTGGCCTGAGGCGAGGAGTACGTGAAGCCGAAGCGCTGAAGGACCTGCTGCACCATGTGTGACTGAGTCAGGGTAATGGGCGTTGTGCTCTGTCCCAGGTGATCTGCAAGCCAAGGTAGCTGCGCAGTTCACCCAGGTCTGTGCACGTGTGTCTCTTCTGCAGCTCGGACTTCACGTGGGCGAGTCCAGCAGAATCAGCAGTGGCAAAGACCAGGTCGTCGTCGTACACGAGGATGTAGAACGGCGGCAAAGAGGAGTCGGTGCGTAGAAACAGCGACGGGTCGGCTGTAGATGGAGCAAACCCAAGAGCCGCAAGTGTAGTCCTCAGTGTGTCGTGCCACTCACGGGGCGCCTGGCGGAGACCGTAGAGTGGCCGCCGGAGGCTCCACTGGGTGCTAGGAGGAAACGACCCAGTGAAGCCAGGAGGGCGGCGCAGCCAGATCTCCTCGTG